TGTCACTCTCTGACTCATCCGACTTTTTGCATGCGTATATCTGTAATTGAATCCAATCCGATGGCGCGATAAGTCGAGAGATCCCCTCGAACCGATAAGTTTCCCCGTAATTATGGCTATTGATTCGGTTAATCCGAACGTATACACGAGTAGTTTCCGAAGGGAGAATCCCTTCCTCCAACGCGTAGTTTGGCTTTCGAGTAATGGTGATTGGTGTATAGCCTTCGTTTGCCATGCGGTTACGTGGTTTGTTTTTTTCCCTTTTCATTAGATTTCTCCTTGATTAGTCAAGCCGGACTCTGCGCTTTCGAATAAAGATTATAGTTTCAATTTATCAACGCTGGCTAATCCACCCTTCAATAGTTAAAAAACGCTTCACACCCGGAACCGCACTTTGTTCCCGGCTGTAGCCGTGTGAGGTTTACATCGATCAAAATAATCGAATTCTTTTCAAAATACCCCTTCTGAAAAAGAAAAGCTCCTGTCAAAAAAAAAACCCAGCAAACAAACACGCCGGCGCGGTATAAAACGTGCGGTACGGATAACACTAAAGAGTCAAACCGCAAATACGCGCCCCCCCCCCCCCCCTCTAAATAAACGGTCGAGAAACTCAACACCCCATAAAACGACATCGAAGGGAAGGGGTAGAGAAAGGATTTCGGGCATATCCCCGTTGCACGTGCGCTTGCGTATGTATGTGTACGTGCTGGGGACGAAACGAGTCGCGAATTTATTTGCATAATACGGAGACGCGTGTAATTTCGCGGGGTGTTGCCCAACAACAGAACGAGCCCTCGCCGTATACCTGAACTAGTTCGACGAGCGCGATCTCTACGTTGTTGCGCCCTTTCTTTTCTCTCGGATGTCCTCGCTCGAGGATTAAGGATGCGCTTGCCTTGCAAATTCTTTCCTCCGATGCTTGACGACGGTGCAGTCGGCCGCGAAATTATGCGCTACACATTGCTTTTTATTCAGAGGTTTTGGGAACACGTTATCGCGTGTCGCAACAGCTTCAATTAAAATTGTATCGCACGATGCAATAAGCTTTCCCGCGCGCAGGTACACGTGATACACTGGCCCGCGCATAACTTTTCCAAACGAAATTACGCGAACTTTGCTCTGACGAACTGCGTACTTTCGCGGACGCGAATAGATTCTACGTTTCTGCGTTGAAAGACAAGTTTATTTGAAGCTGTCAAGGGCCGCCGAAACGAAATAAGCGAAGTAGTTTTTGAAGTATTACCTCTCGCGAGTGCTCGCTATTTTACGTGTCCTTTCGCAGGGGTCAGCTTAAACCGTTGCATTTGTAGTGAAACATTATCAATCTTGCTCACTTTGCCGCGCTCTTCTCTCTCTCTCTCGCCGTGTTCCTCTTTTGTTCGTAATCACGCGCTTCGCTTAATTGCCGAAAGTTTTCCAGAGCAGACGCACACCCATGCCTTTGTGCTCTTGCCTCTTTGTGAATTATCCCTACGCGCGTGTTGCTCTGATTGATGATTCGACGATAACAATTTTGTTTTAATAAAACAAACGCTTATGGGGATTTTCCCTCTGGGCAAAAGTTTTGTCTCTTCGGATCTAAGGGATTAAAGTTGTTCATCGCTTTTTGTCTTAATTTAATATTTGCCTCTGCCGCGCCTTCCATGGATTATCAAGTTTTTCCATGCGCGCGTGGCTGCTGCTGCTGCCGCTGCTGCATGCCTTTAATATTTAGAGCCTCGTTGTTGTTTTTTTTTTTTCGTTCGTGCTTGGGCTTTTCCTTGTCGCCGTTTCTTTTTACAGAAGCTATCAAAAGTTCTTGAAATTCAGTTAAAATGTTGTTTCAAACTGAAGACTCGTACTTTGGACGTGTTTGTTGATGAAGATAGAGAAAGGGAAGAAAAAATACTGAAGGGTCATTTGGGAAATTCAATTTTTACACGAACACAATTCTTTCTTGTAAACTTTTATACGCCGCGCGAGCAGAAGTCCTTCAAGTTTCAAATTCACAAACGAAATTGACCTTTCCCTTTTTTACCCTCGCATTAAATGTGCAATCGAATGTTTACTGTCCGTAAAAGTATCCCGGCACGATAAAGTAAAGCTTACATACGTGTTTGTAGCGAACAATGACGATGCAAACAACCGGCAAAAAAAAAAGAAGAAAAAAAAATATCTCGCAGCCGGGGTATTCAAATTGAAATTTTTCACAGGGAATTAACAACGAGAGCGTGCGCTGGAAAGCAATTACACGCTCATAATCGACGCATTATCCTTATATTTATCAAAGCGCAGGTGCAGTCGATTTTTTACGAAAAAAAAAAAAAAAAACGCATAAACGTGAGAAGAGGAAATTCGTTACGGACGGTTATCGATTATACAGACACGCGAGGTGATAACAGTGCGTCTTTGTTAAACAAACGGAGTGCGAATAATTCGACTGAAAATTAACCGTCTGGACTTGTGCCGCCAGCACCTCTAATTACACTTTGCACTATTCATCGTTATCGTTGCACAATTTCCCCAAAACTTAGCTTCATTTGTTCGCACGGCATTATGCTCACGGTTTTAAACTTGCCGGGAGAGAGAGAGAGAGAGAGAGAGATACGCGAGCACAGAGGTGCGCCCCCTTTGAATTAAGCCAAAGCCAAGGTTATATGCGCTTTATTTCGAATTTATCGTCAGAATTATTGTTGCGAATATCCAGATTCATAACGCGCGCCCGCGCTCAGCGGAACTTGGCCGGCAAGTTTCCACCTGCCGTCCAGGTCGCAGCGCGTTTCCAAAGAAAAGCAATTAACTCGCTGTGCCTGTTCGTCCTCGATGAATTTTAGGCAGGAAGCGGCAGCCGTTGACATTTTTTTCTTTTCCTTCTCTTGGCCAACGGCAACGCTTGATTCTTGATTTTTCGACGAATCGAAAAAAAAAAGAAGAAGAAGAAATTAGCACTTGTGCGATAAGAAATAACGAGCGACGCGCTGTCTTTGTTTCTTTCGACCAAAGCGAAAATCACATTTGACGCCTGGCGACCCATCAAACGCGCGCTAACAAAGCATCTCTTGCGTGCGCGCGCGAGCGACATTCTGTTTTTTTCTATGGAACTCGTGGGTCGCTCGTAAAACTGGGAAACTTTTACGCTAAGCACACGGCAGCGGATGAAGAAGCGGAAGAAGAAGTTGGAAGCGTCGCGCGCCTGAGAAACGGCGCGATTTTAGCGCTGTGTATCAAAAGTTTCGGCGCGCCACTTTGTTTTGAATGCTAATTGAACGTCTTTGAAAATTTAATTAGGCAGCCTCGTCTTTTTTCTCTCCCCCTCCCCCCTCTCTCTCTCTCTCTTTGGACGCTTTTTCGCTGAACTCAAAAGAGTTGAGAATGTAAACGCAATTAAGTGCTCTACTCGCAATGGATGAAAGGCTCTTTGTTGATTTTTCTTGAACGACTCTCGCTTGATTATGTGTGTATTTAGTTCTTATAGCTTATTTATATTTGGCTTGCAAGGTTGATTTCCTCTATGTGGAGAATGATATTTTTGAAGTCACTGTCAATTTCATTCATTGATATTTCAAATCCAGGATTCAACTACGTAAACTTACTCGTGTTTTCGTAAATAATAAGGGCGTTTCGTAAAATGTAACTGACACGATGCTGTCTACGTCATAAAATAATCGAATATTATGTTATAATGCAATTTACATGAAACAGACTTTGGCTCTATTTTCGAGTTTGCATAAACAATAGCTCAGTGTTCCTCATAATAGAGGGGCATTATATTATGTCATTCGTTATTAACTGCTCTTTATAAGTACGACCAGTTTTTGTTTTTAGATAACATTAACAATTCAAACGACGAGTAATAATTTTTTTTTCTCATTCCAGGTAAATGATCCTTTTGCTACGATTCAATCGAAAGATAAGTTTTGGTACGTATACACTTGAAAATTATTTGTCACCTCGTCAGTTGCTCATTTCTTTGCGAAGGATGGCCGACGCAACAGACACACCAATTTTAGAAACGCGTGACAGGACTTTGCATCCGAGGCAGTAACAATCCAGTGCCAATAAATTGCGTCCGTGTGTATATGTGGATGGAGTATGGCCGATCGTCTTCTTCGACGTCGACGGAAATTCAATCCTCGCGATTCTGACTTTACGACGTCGAACGTTCATGCTCGCGAGCGCGAGCGATGGCATCTCGAGTGAGAGAGGACAAGTGATTCGCAAGCGCCCGCCCGGCCTGTTCAATTTGTAATGGAATTTCGGGAGTTTAGTGCCGTCCGACCCCGCGCGTAATACCGAATGCAGTTGTCGCTAATTTTATTAGGACAACGTACATCTCGTCAAACGAGGAACGGATCAATTTGATGATGATAGAATTACTGAAATCGACGTTAAATTGGTATATTTGGAAACCTAAAGAATGTCGCAAGAATCTGAAATGCATTGTTTCTAAGATTCAACGGATTTATGTCGCTCAGTTTTAATTCACTTTTAATTCATGTTGATGAATTTTTCATCAACAATTTCTCGTTTGATATTCATTCCTTCGATTTAAACTTTCATTTATAAAATAATGAAAATGTCTTAGTTCCAGGCACATTTATCATTAACTCAAGTGAATATTCAGTATACGAAGTAGGTTTACCTCGTATAACGTCACGTTCTCGGATTTCGAATTTACGAGCAGTACGGCGTATGTTGGTATTGTGTTCGTATTATCGAATAAAGTAAGTTGAAATATTTCAAAATCCGTCGCAAAATCCTTTGTAAATGGGCAATAGGAACTTTCCACGAATATTTTGTTTAATGAAGATTAATATATCTAAACATAAAACTACTTTGATTCTTTCAAAAGCACTTGTTGAAAATTTTTTCGGTGAATCATGCTGCCTCAATGTTTTTCTTGATCCGAGTAGATCTCATAATGCCACTTTCGAAAATACTATGGAACTGCTACATAACAATTCTAGTCCCACTTTTCTATCGACAGTTTTGCATTTATTTGTTTGAAAAATTGAAAAAATGTAGTTACATCCATTATATCAGTTCTAGATTAATTTTTAATATTCATTCACAAATAAGAGATTACCATACAATTTATCGTAGGAAAATTACATTCCTTTATAATAAATATTGAGTGCGAAATTTATTTTTCAGTCTCGCGCGTTGTTAAAATCTTCTAAAATACTTTATTTTCATAGTGTCGTTTAAGAAATATGCTAAATTTTATACATCGAGAAAAGATGGTTTACTTCAAAATTTGATAGCTGGGGTTAGATCCAATCAAATTGATCGTGCTGGCATTCATTGTAAAGGGTAAATGTGCATGTTTAAAATGAAACGTTATCAAATGAAATGTTATTTCAGATAGTCTTATATCTTATAAGTTACACGAACGATCATAAATATTTTCTCTTGAATCGTCCAACAGTACGGTTAGAAAAATTGTCTAGATTTGAGAGGTTTTTTTCAAGAAATGCAACAACGTTCGGAAAAATTTCTTTGGGATAAAACAAATACCCCGCAAGATATATACATCGAATATTGCACTGAATTTCGCGTTCGATGAAATGCGACATTTCCTAAATGTTACACACGAATCGTCTGTATAACTAAGAAGTTCCAGCCGATTTTACCAGCGATCAGTTGATTTTTAATCAAAAGATTTTATCGATATTACTTAATAAAGTCCATTGGAAACTGGAAGATAAAACAGGAAAAAAACCATGACGTTCATCGACCAACTGTCATTCCCGGATCCTCGTCGATTATGAAAAGTGAGGTATCCGTTTTTTTTTTCGTTGGCGATCGTTATGTACGTTTATCAATAGCACGGGCACAAGCTATAAATCTCTCTTTTGCGCGCGCGTCGACGAAGGTCGTCGGTCTTTCCTACCCAGCCGTAGGAAGAATTTTTGGAAGCTCGCCCGCGGCTCCATTCCAAGATTAAAAGTTCGCTAAGCGCCAAGTAGCGGGCTTTCTTTTCTAATCGCTCGCCCGCTGGTGTGTGCGCCTCGCGAGAGCAGCGAAACGCCGCGGCGCACCCGAGAACGAGCCCCGACGAGTATGCGATCGACCGCGAATAACCAGCCTCGAAAACAAAGTCAACGAGAGAAGACGACGTCGCTCGACATCTCAATATGAGAGCCCGCGCAGCGACAATGCGAAAAGCACCCAAACAATTATCCGCGCATCTGCACACCCGAGTATCATTCTTCTTTGCAGCAGTGCCGGCGAGGGGATTCAATCGAGCGCGAGTAATGCGATGTGTGGTATTATAGGAATCTCTCTTTCTCCCTTTTCCGCCGCAGCTGCCTGCATACTCGAATGATCCATATATCCCTCTGCAACGACGACGTTTTTTTTTCTCTCTCTCTCTCTCCCTCTCTCCTTTTTAATGCCATTTTCGAGCGCCGGATTATACTTCTCTTTGATCCTTGCCGCTTTGCCATCCTGCAAATCGACATTTCAATTGATAACGCGCTTACTTCGGTGCAACGTTTTTCCTTCGCTTAATCATAAAAAGAAAGTATTATTGTTATTACTTTTTCTCCTAAGTCAATTGTCCGCGAAGAAAATTCAATAGTGCGATATATGCGTGACATTAGCATTTTCGCCCCATGAATTATCATAACAATGGGTCCTCTATATGTCGAGAATGATTCATAACCTTTCGGAAAAGAGCCCAGTAGATCTACGTATATATGAAGAAAAGGAAAACGTTTCCTCTGCTGATATATACATACGTCATCGGATTATCCGCCAGTCGAAATGTTCACTAGTGTGTTAAATCGTCCCGATTATTAGGCCTCATTTGAGTGTGTCGTTGACTCACATCGACTGAAATAGTCCTGAGGAATTAGTAGCAGTGCTCCCTCCTCCCCTTGTCAATTAATTTACGAGAGCTGCCACGGCGACACATCTCTCTGAGAACTTTCAACTGCTGCACTTTTGACCTGGAAAAAATAAAATTAAACCAAGATCAGTTTTGCGAGTGCTCGGAACTGCAACTCTCTGTGAAAATTCGAGTGGTACTCTTTCGTGAATATTCGACTTCTTTTTTTCTTTATCACTCGAAAATGTACGCCAGCAATCGAGACCGACTTGACAGTGAATAATTGAAACAGTGAATAAGCTTTTTTTCCTTTTCAGGTCGCTCTTTCAATGAATTAATAGCGTACTGCTCGAATTTTCAACTTCCCGATATTAGACGATGTTTTTTTAATCATATACGTAACCGATAAATGTTTATTGAAAAAGCAATTTAAAGTTAATTTTTTTGGTTCAAGATTGTTAATGTGTCTAAACCAATTGATTATTAAATGCCGATTGATTATATTTGTACACTGAATTGAATGGATTGGATGAATTGGATGAATTGGATGTAATTTTACGTAGGTTTGAGTGTAATTTGTTCGTCACAACGTATTCTTTATTGATGAATGTAGTTTTCATTTATGCATGTTTTTTTTACAAAATATAGAGTGAAAGTCGGGCAAAGTAAGCGTATATGTATTTGTTTGGTTGGACTAACGATATTAAAACCAGTTTTTAAAACAATTAAATAATTGATCGTTTGCGAGTCGACAATAATAGTCGATTTATAAAGAAGGTGCTGATCTTTGAGAGATGTAAAAGTTAGTAATCTGGCAAAATGAAATTGAAAACGTCAGCTTGATTCTTCCTTTATTCTCGCTACACGTCGCAATTCAAGAACGAACAAAATCACTTAAGACTTTGCTCTTTCACGCGAATTCTTAATGCTCTTTTTCCATAAACGTAAAACCCCTTTTTCAAAAGCACTCGACCTGTAGGCATTACGACTCGAAGCTAAATACATCCAGCTTTATTCTTTTCTTCGCCCCGCCGGATCTGGCAGCGCAAAGAGCTACGCGTTTCGTCCGTCGCAGCTTGCGAAATTGAAAGAAGCCGAGGGCGAAGGGTCATGCGTGTACGTGTTATCAATTTTACAGCTTGTCGATCGTTAATTTTACTACCCGCGCGGGAAGCTGTTGTACGAAATTTCGAGATGCGTTGGACGCGCTTAGATAATTAATTGACTTTGTCAGGTAAATTGCCCCATTAACTGTCAGACCTACTTTGCAAGTTTATTGAAGTTTTACGCTGCAAATAGCGAAGTTGCTTCGAATCGAATTAGTCCGCAATTCATTTACAGCGCTATCTACACCTCAACATTTTTTTTACTAAATTTATAGTCGACGCTCTGTGTATCTCAACAATCATGCAATAATCGAGCAACATTTTCAGTATAATTATGTTTACGCAGGAAGTAAATTTGTTTTTTTTTTAGTTAATGGTACTTGTTGTTACTTGTTGAGATTCATTTCGTTTGAGAATATTTTCCATTGTTGGCGGCGCGTATGATACTCACAGCGGGGAGGGTGAGAGAACGAGCGAATTGAATTGTTTACGCGAAATTCCTACGAGTGAAAGATTAGAATCAATTTTTCAATCGTAGCAACGAGGAAAAAATGACGAAATGAGTTCGCGAATAGCCTTGGCGAGCCACGAAATTCCATTCTGAATTGGAACACGTCTAGTCAATAATGATAACAATTATGAAAGCAGATCGCGACACTCGGACGTAGAGAGAGCAATAATCGCAACGTCACGACTCAATCTCGTCTTCCGCTCCTGTTTCTTTCGCAGGGAGGCGCGCACTTCGATTCCCGCAGAAAAGTTTCAAGTTTTTCCATTCGCCAGGCTAACGTCTCGCGTCGTTCGCCAAGTAGTTAGTTCCTTCCGCTACCGCACGTACGGCGACAAATCGACTTTTATAAAGTGCTTCCTTTTTTACAGCTACACGCTACTTATTTTTTTTTTCCTCGGGTGCTACGATACTAATAACAATAATTTACCGTCGCCCCATGTTCAGATTTCGAAAAAAATTGTTTTTTTTTTTTCTTTCCTTTTCGTACGTCACATTTTTTCATAACGTATACTTTCGAACGACTTTACTATCATTTTCAGTACCCGATACTCATTTGAATATCGGATAATTATGTTGCATGATGCATTTTCTCGAAGTCGTGCTATCTGCACAGACACTAGTCATAACCTGATATATGTGCTTAAAATTTCGGCTATGAATAAATATTACACTTTGCCGTACTCGACATTGAAATACGCGTTCTTCGTTGATTATCATGTTTATTACATAACTGGATTGTACGTTTTCAATCATGTCGAAATTTATTGCTCTCGTTATAACCGGAGTTGACGTTATTCCCGGGGGGAAAAAATCGTCACCCAAAAGTCGAACCTCGCCAAGTAAGTTAGCGACCTAACGTCTAATAAGGATGTTTTGCGATAGATACACGCTTGTACATGCGACCAACCAGCACGTGACACCGGTCACGTACTGCAGTCGCCATCACTGCGACAATTTGCGGTCAGGTTTAGCCTTGCACATCTAATCCAAGCTTGGAATTCTATGCGGCGTCGAACTACTTTTTTCGAGTTTGTCTTTCTTCCTTCGCCCCCCCCCCCCTGCCCTCTATTTGCTATGGACATCTATACATGCGCGCCAATTACGCCACGCTTTTCGAGCGTGGAAGGATCAATAGTTCGAGTGAAACTGGCAAGCGAATAGGTATAGCCCTTTTCATCAACCGTCGCTCGAAGATTAACAATCTATTTTTTAATGCTGACGTATATTTTTACACTACCGCAGCAAATTGGTATGCAAGTGCGGCTGAAAATAGCGCGCTGCGGTTCTGATATAGGGAGGCGCAACAGGATTGATCGTTAATTTTACAACAACGCGCGGATAGCATTCTGGCTTTAGCGAAAAGAAAAAGACAAGGAATTTCAACGAGGTTTTTCATCGTTCGCCACTATTTTCAATTCTGTGAACTATAAGCCCACGTATCAAGAGTCAAAAGTCTAAGTCCAACGATAACAAGTAACAATACAAGAGAACAAGGGAGGGGCTAAACTCACCTCTTGATATAACGCAGAAAGTGATGTCCCAAGCTATAGCAGCAGCAGCAACAGTAAGAATAAAAGCTCAACGAACCTGCTGAGGCCAGTGTCCCTTAGATGTGGATATGATCGACTAGTCGCGAGAATCGGAACGTACAGAGATGAAGCCACGTGACGAGAAAAAGCAGTGGCAGAGGGGCGGGAGGGGGGTCATGTGTAGGAGGATATCCCGCATTTATGCGGTAATCAGAGCGCTCACGCGCGAGCGCCTGCTCCCGTTTGCCCTCTGTGTTATATTCGCGCGACGACCTATTCGCAAGCTCAGTCTATTGCTCGACCACCAAACCCGACCGCCGTGGGAGTGCCGTAAAAGCAAAAGCGAAAAAATTAAAAGAGGAAAAGACGACTACAAACGCACAGCGGAGCTTGTTTCCAACTTCTGCGGATTCAGGTAAGTCATCTGCCGTCAATAGTCGTCGAAATGCGCCGTCGACCGGAGTATTGATTTGTTATGCAAATAATTTTAATATATTCTTGACGTTGCGCCCTGAAAACAGTGATTTTAATCAGCTTAAGAGTCGTCGACGTAATATTGCGCTGAGATACTAAAAGTAGATTAAGCCGCACTTCAATCCTTGTGATTGAGAATTCAATTAAAGTGATTACAGGCAGGCTTATATCTTGCAAAAACCGTGAAAAACCTGTTCAAAAGTTATTTTTAAGTAAGAAAATATGTTAGCAAGGTAAATGCAGGTCGCGTAGCTAATCTAACTTGGAAGTCGACTAACCCAATTAGCTGTTAGGCGAAGGGGGTGTTAGTGTGCAGCAAAGACGAGTTGTAAAGTAGGTCGGCAAAAGATAAAATCGAATTTCAGCGTGATTTGCTGAAAAGGGGCAGGTCGTGTGCGCGAGGAGGAGGGCGCTGAAAGCGCAATCAAATATTCAGAGCGGAAACGTTTGACTTGTAGATTGGCGCGTCGCATCATCACCGTCACTTGAACGCTGCCGTAAGCTCTCGCTGCCCATGTGATCTAACGTTCGCAAGAGGGACGAAAAAAAATCCACGAAGAAGAAGGACGAAGAGAAGCGTACGCGCACAAAGATTACAAAAGAAGACCAAAAAAAAGAAGGAAGATGAAGTCAGTCTATTGTCTACTGTTTGTTGTGTTGTCCACGTATCTCGTTGAGGTAATGGAACTCGATTGTGTTACCCATTTGTCCGCTGCTATTTCGATGTCTCTCGATTCCTTTTCATAGATCGAGGCGGAACGCCCAGCAGTTTGCCGCGAAGGATCAGTCGCTTATTGCAAACACATGCAGACAGCCAAAGCTTGCGGAGTACGTATACATGTATACATGTAGCATATGACGAAGGTCCAACGTGCATTGCAATTGCCAACGTAGATTTTTAAGTGGAGCTCTACGAGAGCCTGACACGGATATAGCTCTCGATCATTTGATTTGTCATCGGTGTTCCCAAATTTTTTTTTTTTTTCTTTTTCTTTTTCTTTTTCGTACTCGACGATCTTTTGCAAGGACGTTTTGTTCGTCGTTTTCCGGAAAATTCCCAAGCAGAATCACATTTTGTTTTCCTAATGTGTCGTATTGGTTAATGAGTGTTGTTGTTCCGTTGAAGTTCATTGATACGATATCGACGACCGGCACAATCGGAAAAAAAGAAACGGAGATGGCCTGAGTTGTTGGTGTTACAGTTGAACGGAACTTTTCTAATAAAGAAACGCGTGAATTGATTTGTAGAAACTGCGCTTCTGCCAAATGGTCTGGGATCCGCCGGCAGGTTTCCAAGTGATCAAGAACGGCAATCACTATCAGATCCTCAACCCCAACATCGGCTTCATCCACGTGGGTTAACAACTCCAACATTTTTGTTCTTGGCCGACTGCACTGTTGCATTTATTGTATACTCCAATCATACCTGCTGTACTGATATATTTTAACGTCACACCTTATATTATAGTTTATAATGGGTAATAAATAAATCAGATTTTTATAATTACATCTTATGGGTGACTTGGCAAACGTTCCTTCCACACACATATATATATATATATATATATATATATATATATATGTAAGACTTTATCCGACATTTCGATGTGTTGATTGGTTTATTTATATCGACAGAATAAATTTTTAAGATTTAAATAGACTCTGTAGGGAGTTATTTACGAAAATTGCTGGTTAAGCGTGGATAAGTATTCATAATTTCAATCCTTTAACTGTCATTCTTTTAACAATGTCTTTACTGGACTGATGAAGAAAAATCGAATCATATAAAAATTTGTTGATATCGCCGGAGATGATAAAGAGCAAACAAACAAACGCGAATTTACGAATGCTAATAAGCGCAATGAGAGTTCATTAAAAGGTATTGCATTAGAACCTCGTCAATTGACTCTCGGCTCGAGTACTTCTGCACGCGCACGTAAGTTGCGGACGGACAATTAGCAAAATCCTCGGATAGTAAAAGTGGGCCGTGAGGGGGATTTGCCCTCTAGGTCGCCACTTGCGCAAGTCTCTTTACGTAACGCAAGCGTATAGATTTATTGTTTTTTCACTGCTAGTTAGCTGTAAAAAAAAGAAACCAGGAGCACATTTCCTATATTTATTTATGTGCAGTCTGATTTGAGCGTGCGATAAGAATTATTTTTGACAAATTTTCATTTTGGAACTAGGCCATGCCTGATGAGGCGATAATTCATGTTTATTTTACTGGTCAGCAAATATAAGAGTAGCTTTTAATCGGTCGACAATCGATACCTTCTATTCAGAAGAATTATCATATTTACTTATATTCACAGTAAATGCGGATTGCAAAGTAGCTGAAAATTGTAAATTCTTCAAATCGCAATAATATTCGAAGACGACTCCTTGAAAAGACATATTTTCGTCGAAAATAATATCAATACTTTTGGTGACCTAAAACACCCGCACTACGAAGAGTGCTGACTATCGGCTTCTGAAGTAGGTTAGTTAAAGGTGGGGGCGAATTGACGTCAGTATGCGGCATAACCCAGTAACCTCGCCGAGTACAACGACCGCCTTATTTCGACTGTACCAAGATCTCCTACCTGTTTATACATTCAATCTAGTTACTTATTTCTTGGTGTGTTTTGGTTAATTTAAAAGAAAATCATTATTATCGAAGCCCTGGTGCCAAAATAACGATTAGAAATCTACAAAATCACCGTATACTTACAGAAATTCATTTGCACAGTGTAAATTATCTTTTCAATTCCTGAATATTTATAGTTTCGCGCGTGTAATATACCATAATAGGTTTCATCAAAATAATTTTGTCTCTTGAAAACAGGCTGTAAATAAAAATTACAAGCGTATAAAATTTCAGCGTTCCAGAAATGTGGAAGCTACGCCTCTGAGTCTTAGAATCTTAAATAGCAAAGTGGGTAGAAATTCTTTTCTTATTCTACGAAGTAAAAAGAATGTCTTAAATTTGCTGCATTCTTAAAAAAACAATTTTCTTACATTAAAAACATTTTTTTTTGAGCTCAAAAAATTTTGCTAAATTGGTTATGTTTCAAAACTGTTGAAAATAAGAAATCATTTACTGTATATTTCACATTCAAAGAATATTTAAGTGAAAGATATTTTTTTAGAATTAAATGTAACGTATATAAGAACTCTGCACTACTGTAACATTAAAAATTCTACAAGTGCCCTTACAGTCAGGGATTTTCTGTCGAAAAGAGAAAATAAGAACTATATTTCTTGTTTAAGAAAATATAAGAAATGTATTTTTTATATTTAGTAAAGAGATTCTTTTAAAATAAGATGTTTTTGCTTGCGTTGCATAAACCGTGATTATTTAAAAAATTTTTTTGTAACAAACAATGACAGATTTAGATTTGATTAGAGCGTCGATATGATCAAGAAGAGCCGAAAAGAATTCCTAATCACTCAAAAATTGATCTACAATTCATTGAAAACTTTCGAATCTTGTTCAATAAAAAAAGGACAAGTTCAATTTGCAATGCATCAATATACGATATATCAAGAGTTAATTGGATTTGAAATCGATTAACGAGGAAACAATGCATGCAAGAGAATAATACGACATATAAATTGGTTGTTGCTTTGACAACAACGCCCGTCAATATAATGCCGCCAGGTATGGAAACGTCGATCTTCAAATTTAAATGGGAGAACCACGGAATGTTGCCCGCGGTGTGTACACATTCTGAGAATGTGCGCCAACAAACAGTCTGTCAGCGGCTGATTGTTTTATTTTTTTTTTCCGCTCAATCAACATTTCGCGCTGGATAGTTATTCGTGTTCTCGACACATTTCATGCGGGGGAAGTATTAAATTCAAGCCGAACATTTTTCTTTTGCATATCGTTCGATTACCGCGTCCCGTATCGATCCGCCGAGCTCCGGGAAATGGCTGCTGAATTTGCCAAACACACTAAACGATTGCGAACGCGGACAGTATGACCGAATCTCTATCGGGATCGCGCGATGAATCTCTGCAGTAGACGCGCGCGCGCCGACAAAGACATCCCATGAGGACATATCGCTACGGATAGGATTGACGTGGGTCGTTCGTTCGCGTCGCTCACTAAGCGCGCGCACGCAGGTTGCGATTTCGCGTCCCCCGGTGCCCTCGTTCTATACACCGACGACGAAAAAGAGAACGCTTCGGATTGAGCGAGCGGCGCTGTTGTAAAATGCTCTCGCGAGGGCCGAGCTGTAGTTTTTTTTTTTGTTGATTGCCGTGTTCGCTATCTAGTTTTTGAAGTGCACGACAAGTCTCGCAACTTTTTCTCCCTTTTCGCCCGCCCGACAAGCTGACTTTGCGAATTGCCGACAATTACTGCAAGTACGCATTTTTCTATCGGTTCCCGTGTCGCGAGTACACGAATTCGAGCGTCGCCTTGGTGTAATTACACCCGCGAGAGCGAGTATTGCCTGGCGAGCATTGCATTCGCGAAACGAAAGCACGGGACTCGAGGCCACGGCACAAAGAGAGAGAAAGAGAGAGTGAGAGAGTCTAACAGAGAGATTTTCCATTCGCCGTATAAAAAAGTCAGTAATTGCCCTCGAAACATAATGTGAAAGACGACGTTGTTATACTCGTATTCCTCTCTACCGACGCGCAGAGCAAGAAAGGAAGTAGAGAGCTTTCGTCTCTTCGTTAGCATTCTCCTGTCTTTTGATTACGTCGGAGGCGACTATTATTGTGAAAAGAATAATGTATTAGTCGAGCGATGAAGGAAGAAAAATTGAAAAAAAGCATTCGAGTATCGCAGATAAACAAGATCTTTCGCTGGCACACGCGCGTAGATTCCCATTACGATACCGAGAATAAGTTTCTTCTCCCACGAGAAAGGAGGGTTTATATTCAACGGCTTTTTCTCCCCCCTCCCCGCCATTTCGCGCACACAGCCTCTTTTATTGCAAACCGCGAGCCTTTCGTTCCCTGAGCTCACACAGCGACACACGAGGCGCAAGTCTTTACGGGAAAGGGAGGGGGGAATGGGAACCTCGCGCTTTGCCTGCATTCAACGTGAAATGGAGAAAGCTTACACCATAGTTTTTTTTTCAGTGGGGATGCCTGTGCCTCGCTCAACGGCATCGGTTGGTTTGTCACAATGAAAGTATTCGATTTTAAGTCTTGCGTATCGTTATTAACCGCAAAGTTCGTCGGGCGTCCAAAAACTTTTGATTATGCAGGAGAAAACCCGCGCGAGAGTTTTCGATACTCAATGCTATTATAAACAATGCCAACTCATTACCGAACTTTTCAACGAATATAGAAAACTTTTTAATGAATTTCAAAACGGCTTTTGTATATGGGTTATTGTAAGAATGCGCTGGCACGCTAATGACACGTTGAATTTTTCATCGTTTCAATGACATTGAAAATTGTTGCCGTACTCTCTCGTGTGTTTGGAAACTCCGATCGTTCGTTACTTATTAGTTCTTCCAGAAATATTAAAAATCTGAGATTGATTTCTCTAATTACGGCATTGATATTTTTAAGACTGGAAGAAGTTCAAAAAGTCCACAATTTATTTATACATATATTTGTATTTATTTTACGAAAATCAGTGCAAAACTTCGTATGGTTTGTATGTTCATTTAAAAATGAGTAATCTACAAAATAATTTTCTGACATTTAATGATTACCTTCATCATCTAGAAAATTTTCAGCATTGCCATCAATCACTAGCTGAATAAAAAATAAAAACGTTATTGTTTCGAAAAAATGTTTAAAAAATCGGTATTTTTATTTATAATTATTAATAAATGTGAAGGTAAACCCACGATGAAATTCAAAAATTCAATAAACTGTTTTATTCTCTGATACTTTTCGCCTCTTTACACTCTCTACACAAGCTGATTTATCGACCAAAATTATGTAATGTTTTTCAGAATCACAGTGTGAAATGATTTTTGTTTTTCCGCTGCGCAAAATCTCGTATATATATGGTGTCGGAAGAAAGGCATTCTTTCGCAGCTGGCCGACAAGTAAGAAATCCTTGGTGCTGCACAGTGTCAAAAACAGAAAAGGCATGTTAAAGCGTCGATTTGAACGAGAAAACAGTCAGTTTGGCCGAGTTCCAAGCCGCAGCAGCGGAAGAACGTTTTGTTTCTCAAGCTCGTCATATAGGCGATGAAGATTAGCGGCGGCGGGTGGTGTCTGTCTCGCTGACTGTCCCGCGGGAAATCACCGAACAATCGTCTTGGCCTAGATAAGAGTCTACGGGAAAGTGGAAGGTGTCGCGAAGGGGATGTACTTTAATGGAAGAGTCCGACGCTCGGGAGAACTGTCCTCTTTTTCCTTCTCCTTTTTCAGGCATGATTTTGTCAGTTTAAGTATAAAGGAACTGGAGATCTATGACAAAGGTTTCGTCTGATGATAACTTTCAGATCAAAATTTTACTATTGCTTTTAGAAACACGTTTAATGAAGAGCACAGAGTAATTCAAAATAACGCAATTGCCTTTGTTACGTA